TCCTTGCCTACCTATAGTCCGGTCGAGCTACCAAAATCTGTGTGTTTTTAGTAGGGGGCCTATTTTTTACGATTCTAAATAATTTTTAAGGTGTTAACGTTGAAATTAAGCGTGGAAGTCACTTGGAAAATTTTGGAGTTTGGTCGCTACATTAAATTATGGTCGCTACATTAAGGTGTAAATAAAAATAAAATGTTTCCTCTCGGAAACGGTAAGTAGCTAAACGTACAGTGAAGCCTCTACGGATAGAGCGAGTGAAGCTCTATATTCGCCCCATTTAAACTGTGTTTCGAAAATTCACAGTTTCCGAAATATTCAATTTGAAAGTTTTCGATTGTCAATTTTCTTTAAACCCTTTGCAAAAAATCGATTATTTTATTTATTAACTTTTTCCACTTTTCTCACCTGGTACGGTTAGAAGACGTTAATGTAAGAATTCTGTAAGAATTTTATTTTAAGTCTATGGGTATGGGGGGCCCATCCCCGAACATTTTTGTTTCCATTTTCGCCAATCAGTTATAAAACCAATAAATGTTATAAAGTAAAAAAAATACACACTTAAGCCTAATATCTCGCTTACTATCCCGGAATTTAGCTATAACAATCTGGCAACACTAAATGTCATAACTAAAAATAGTTACGAGAGAAGCACAATATCGACTACTGAACGAGGTGTACGAGCTTTTTCCGAAAAAAAAAATCATTATTCTTTATTTAGTGAATTTATTTCCAGTTAGAGAATCTCCCTGTATCTTAAAATATCGATTCGTTTGTTAATTAAATGGAAAGGTGTAGCCGTTTTATTTTTAATTTAGCAGATCCCCGCATTTCTTTATAGTTTTACGCGTAAAAATGCTTTTCTCTGGACTTATTATCTTATATCAGTTGTTATTAGCCGACCATACCAATAGGTATGGTAGGCTATTAAGATCGGTAAAAAAAAAGTTTTTTTAATTTCACTCAAAATGAGTTATTTGGGTCATAAATGACCTAAATACAAAATATTTCCATGGTGTCTGTCTGTCCGTCTGTAACACGATAACTCAAAAACCGCTAAACCGATTTTAACCAAATTTGTCACCAAAATACTGTGGCACCCGAGAATCTGGCCATTAGTTTTTGGTGGGGGTGGGTGGTTGGTAAGGGGGTATGGGAGGGGGTCAAAATTTTTTAAAAATCTTAACTCCAAAATTACAGTAGCTAGCGAAACGCGGTTTTCAGTTTAAGATTAGGAATAATATTTGCAACAAAATTTGTAATAACATCAAAATCAAAGTCGCAGTTTTTGAGATAAAAAAAAATTGGAAAAATTCCTTTACTTTGAAACTAAAAGAACTGCCTACCAACTTTTTATTAACATATTTTAATATGGGCGGCTATACGTGCCTCCCGGCGCCAATTTTTTGTTTATTAAAACTAGGTAGTCGTATAACATACTCCAGGGTCGTTCAACAAAGTTGAAGGGGTAAAATGTTTATCCATTGTCTAACAAACGAAATATTGACTCTACATTGTTTTTATAATTGATTTATACCTCAAATGCGCCCGACGATAGCAAAATTAAGGAAATTTGAGGAGAATTGGTTGTGCAAATCAAACGATTAAAATCAAACGCAAAAGTGCTACATTTTTAATTAAATGATATGAAAACAGGAAAATAAACTCTGCTTGGAATTCACGAAGGGAAAGGGCACGGCAGAGAAAACCTCGCTCTCAATTCCAAAGAATCCAACCAAGCTGTTCAGGAATATAATAAACATGTAATAATTAAATTTAAGTAGTGTCCCCCATACTAAGGTTTGTAGTTCTACATTCAAAACATGCCACATTTGTTACATTCAAAACCGAAGAGTTTTTTGTTAGCAGACCACAGGGGTGGATGGGGAAGTGGAAACCGGCCCGGGAAAAACAGACAACCGGCCCAAATCCACAAAAACAAAATGATCATAACGAAGAAACATATCTTATTTATTAATACAAGGTGTCCCAGAAATAAGTGCAAGTATTTTAACTGGTAGTATAGTTCAACCCCCCAGAAACACTCCTATGAGGTTTTTTTTCGCAAAAAAGAATTTTTTGAAAAATGTTTCGGAAATTTTTTTAGCTTTTAGTTAAACAACAGAATTTCTTGATAATATGGCAACATAGGTTTTACAAGAAAGAAAATCCAGAAAAGATCCAGTGGTTCTCAAAATTTGAGCAAAAAAATATTTTTTTGGAAATTTTCAAAGTAAAATAACTCCGTTATTTTGGACTTATTTTCAAAACGGTAAAGATAAAATATGTTTCTTTTATCGAGATTTACCACTCCTTAAAATACTTGCACTTATTTCTGGGACAACCTGTATAGTTCTTATCACGAAACTTTTCCTCTATACTTTTGTACATTTGGCATTTTGTATGATAATGCCATGACGCAAACGAAAAAAACCTAGGCAATACCTAGGCAGTGGATATAAATGTGTTCTGATGTAATGTTATGTTACAGTCCATAATAAGAATATTTGGATTTTCGAGACATATTAATATTTTATTATCTGATCTAGTTTAATCCTTATTTAACTCTTCTCTGCTGTCTCAGTAATTTTTAGCAAATTAATTTTACCAACATTTTAAACAACAATTTAGACTTGGCTTTTAGTTCTCAGACTTGACTTTTAGTCCGTCCCCAATTCAAGCCAAGCATATACATATATGTTTTCTCCGTCAACCGCAGAGTTCGCGTCAAATTCGTCCACCTTCTTACAAAGGGGAGCTCGATAAATATTGCACCGAGGCCCCCAGTTGTCAATCTACGCTATCGTATTCTTAGTATACATTTACATCGAGACTATTTAAATTTACCTAATGCTATTCATCCTTTTTTTTTTGCTGCCAGTCGGTCATATTTATTAGTTATTAATAAAAGAATATTGGGTAAAATCATACAGGGTGAGTCTTATATAAGTGCAAATATTTTCAGTGGTTGTATATTTCGACCCCAGGAACACGTCTATGAGCTTTTTTTGCAAAAAAGATGTTAAAAATCGAGCATTTTCTTTTAAATTTTCCTGTATATTTTAGAAAACTTTTTAGAACTTCCTGTTCACCGCAAATTTTCCCACGGTATAGTTTCTTAATCTCTGATATTACGGCACTAAAAGAGATGCAAATACCGAAAAATTGAGGTGGCTCAATTTTTTTTAAAAATCAATTTTTTTAAATTTCCAAACTTTAATAACTCGATTTGACTTATTTGAAACTCGATAAAGAAAATATATTATGTTTATTTTATTGAGATCTACCACCCCTGAAAATATTTGCACTTGACTCACCTTCTATAATAAAAATTTTCAAACTGAACAAACAACAGATGATTATTAAAATTATAAGTGTCCCAGAGAAAGACATTTTACAATAGTTATTTTACAAATTGGTGTAATAAAAAAAGCAACTGACGATTATACTGATGAAAATTTATTAGTTATAATAGTTATGGAGTCACTAAGGATCTTACGTCACTTTAGTTAGAAGATTAACCATTTAATTTTTGCTAATCCAATCTTTTTTGAGCTCTGATAGGGACCGGCCCACCGGTCCATTTTTCCACCGGCCCACCGGGAATTTTCCCGTTTTCCCATATGGCCCATCCACCCCTGGCAGGCCATCATTGTACTGGTGTCTCATACGGGAAGCTAGGTACCCAACTACGTTAGTTGAAAGTTGAGCCAATAATATATCTCTCAACTGTTGTTGGAAAACACGGTTGGAAAATATTATTTACATTCACCAAGTCCTTGCTGTCATACTCACTAACTTAAGTCATAGTAAACTAAAAATCTTAGCAGGGATTGACGGTAAACAATTGCATTTAGATTTAATTTGACGCACAAATTATTCACATACATACATACTGCCATTACTTGCTGACGAGTATTTGACACGCATCAGAAGATCATTCTTTTCTTTGACACGCATCAGTAGAGCTTTTCTGTGACTGAAAAGCCCGATACGTGATGTTATCTCTCTTCCGCACTCCGGACATTCAAAAATCCACAAAAATCTCATTCCTTTGTTGCCTTTTTACTTTTTGGTTGCCGCTGTTAACTGAGTTTGCAATTCTTCTCCATTGCATTTTATTGTGCGCTCCTTCTTCCCACTCATTCTGCATGTTTATCCCCTTTATTCCCTTTAAGTTTTCGTGAAAAATATCCTTGTGCCTTTTGAGTTGTCCACCCGGTTTCCTCTTACCGTCTACAAGCTCACCGTAAAGCAGAGATTTTGGCAGCCGGTTTTCTTGCATTCTGCATACATGACCAGCCCATCTTAATCATGACTTCAACGCTCTAGGATGGGATACGTAATACATACATACATGTTGTATACCACAATAATTATTGTCAGATCATATAAAGGAGGAAAAACCAAATAAAAACACAGATGCGTCTTGAATGGTCATCTTAAAGCTTTTTCCTACCTATCATCTCTATGTGTTGACTGTGTTCATTCTCTTTCAAGTATTACAAAAGATTATTTTTGTATAAATGACGGTTTTCTGTCATATGACTATGACAGATAAAATAATACGGATAAATAAAACTGAATGTCCAGGATCTAAAAAAAACATATTTAATTTTAAATTGATGATTCCTCCCAGAAATATTATAATTTTTTGGATGTTATTAAAAGTGCCCGGTGGCGTAGAGGTACAGGCTCTCGTCTACCAATCTCAAGGTGGTGGGTTCGAATCCTACACCCGGTATTTCATCAGCCGACTATTTTTATTAAAATAAAAATAGTTTGGGTACCTAGGTCGACTCTGCCTTAAATGAGTACTTGGGATTCACAATCCTGAGGTAATAATAGGCGGTTGAAGCGTAGTGCTAGCCACATTACCTTCCTTGTATGCCGAACGGTTCTAGCATGGCAAGCTGTACCTTGCTACTCCTAAGGCGTTAAAGGCTATGCACGGGAGCTATTATTATTATTATTATTATTATTTTCTTTGAAATAATTTTTAGAAACCATGGCGAATAGAACAGCTCAGAGGCCAAACGGTCAGACCCAAGGCAAAATTTGTCAGTTCAAGTTGGTACTGTTGGGCGAGAGCGCCGTTGGAAAGTCCAGCTTGGTCCTGCGATTCGTAAAAGGTCAGTTCCACGAGTACCAGGAAAGCACTATCGGAGCAGCTTTTCTTACACAGACCATATGCTTGGACGATACAACGGTCAAGTTTGAAATATGGGACACTGCTGGTCAGGAAAGGTGAGTTTATGAACATCTTCTAAATATACCGTTATAGCCGAAATAGCCACAATTATGACCCCACTAGAAAAACCGATGATTAAAACCATGCTTGCTACCGTAGTTGAACTCATCTAAAAAATTTTTCTAACTGGAATAATAAATTATAATGCAAGTTAGACCTTCGGAAGATATCAAAATATTTACCTTTTTATTTTTTTGTTTAAAATTTCCACAAATTACACTTTCTAACACTTTTAGAATAATTATATACTAATTTTTTGGCTTACTCGCCATTTAATCCCGTGTATTTGTATGTATTCGTTATTTATGAGTTCTTCGGCGGTGGCAGCACCGACGCAGAATGCACCAAGCCTATAATTTGGCAAGAATTTGACAACTCTCAAAAATCTTAAGTCGAGTTCATACGCATCGACGTCCGTTTGTCGTTCATCGTTCCGTCAAACCAATAATATTGTAATAAGATCTGTCATTTTTGAAATAAACCAATAAAACTGGTTAAAAACAACAAGAGACGACGCACGACGGATTTATATATAAACCCATCCATAGTTAACTTAAAAAATATTAGAAACTTTTTTTAGTAAAATAAATAGATTGATATGGGACGTCATCTGCTTTTTTTCTGTCATCGTCTGTCAAAATCTTACCTGAGAAAAAAACAGAGTATAGATGCATGAAGCCTATAATTTAGTTGGCAGTTTTAATGGCGCATTCAATTTTGTTTTCCTTCAGATACCACAGCTTAGCTCCCATGTATTACCGAGGAGCGCAGGCCGCTATCGTCGTATACGACATAACCAATCAAGACACGTTCGGCAGAGCCAAGACGTGGGTGAAGGAGTTGCAACGTCAGGCGAGTCCGAACATCGTCATAGCGCTTGCCGGGAACAAGCAGGATCTTGCCAACAAGCGCGTGGTCGAGTACGAAGAGGCCCAATCTTACGCTGACGAAAACGGTTTACTTTTCATGGAAACGTCCGCTAAAACGGCAATGAACGTTAACGACATATTTTTAGCAATAGGTAAGTTTGTTTAATGATTGCTTTCAGAAAATTACCCAAATTTATGTATTTTACAATGATTCTAGTCAAACCAGGGTTGGAAAAAATCATTATTTTTTTTTAAAAATCAAAAAAATCAGATTTATTTGTTTTAAATCAGATTTTTTTTATTTAAATCAGATTTTTTTGATTTTAATTCAAAACAATATTTAAATCGGATTTCCAAATGACTATGACTTATTTCCAATTAAAGTCCTATCCTAAATGGCTAAATCTTCATAACTCTGCCCGTTATCGATTACATTAATAATTCTAGGGTGCGTTTGTCATTTTTCCACATCGGTCACCAATATATTTCGCAAAAAAGTCGCTCGCTTCAGATCAAAAGGATTTTTTTCAAACGTCTCAAAAGTATTCATTTTTGTCATTTTAACGCCTAGGTATAAAAGTAAAGCACTGTTACGCCTAAGCACAAAAGTACAAAAATATATTATTAAACTGATATTAAGTGTCAAATTCAACGAGTGTACAAATTGTTGCTCGATTACTGTTTATATTATTTGCAATGTTTGAAATTGATTAAAAATGATCTGTAATGTTTTAAAAAAATAGTATGTAAGTATGTTCTATTAGGAGTAAAAATGTACTTTTTGTGCTTCCTTGTAACGTCGGAATAGCTTTACGACATGCTTTACGATGGTCCTTCAAAGGTACAGCATCATCAAAAAAAGGATAATTTTTACTCCTAATAAAACAATACACTATTGTTCGGAAATACTCATAAGTCGAGAATGAAATTAGTATTATCTAATGTCAAAGTGTAAAATACTTACTGCAGATCAAAATGTCGGTAAGAATTTGGAATAATACAACCATTTCAAAAAAAAATATAAAACATATTTCCTGACAACGATTATTATAGATTCTCGGGAATGAAGATATAATCTCTATATCAGAAGAACCTAGTTCTGGCACTAGACTGCGAATGATATGTATTTGAACAGCGAATTTCACCGAAACAGGAAGTGACCAAAATCAATTGAATACATCCATCAATCCCAATTTATGTCATACTAGTAGAAGCCTGGCGCATCCGCCACGAAAATCAGGAAAAAATACTTTTTATATTTTGTTTAATTAAATGAAAAACAAAAAATCCGGCGACGACAGTTTTTAGAAGAGCCAATTAGCTATCTTTTAGTAAAAAAAGCAACTTTCTAGAGCAAGTCGTTACTTCAGTAGAGACGAGACAGATAAACATTAGCATTTTATATATATGTAGATACTAACACACCAAATCTCGTGGTTTTATCTGAAAAAAATAAAGAAGTTATAGGGGTGAGCCACTTTTGGGACGCACCCGGTACACCCAGTGCGAAAAAAGAGTATATTGAATTTGGGGGGTAAATACCATTATACCCGATATATACCCGAGTATTCTTTGTGAATTTAGGGTAACAAATTTTAACACTTGTTGTTAAATTAACATCTAAGAATAAATTATCAGAAAACCACAAGTTAGTCAAAGAGTGCACAATAGCTTATAGTTGACATCAAAAACAAGACAGCACAATGCCGACGCGACGCACACTGGTCGCAATCGCTACTTTACGATGCAAAAAATGTTCGATATTAGTAAGACGAAAATTTTAACCTAGTTTATATTGAATATACCATAAAATGACAAGATAAATCTAAAAATACAAATAAAAATGTTAGCCTTCATGTTTCAACCCCTTAGGAGGGGTGAATGTTACCCTGAGAATATTAAATGAAAAGAGGTGTAAAATGCACATCATTTTTGAAGGTCTCATCGAGTACTTACAATTCTAAAATCGTACTTCCTATTATCGTCAAAAAAATGGTGGTAAATGGTGGGTAAATGACATGACAGGCAACTAGGAACATAATCTGGAAGGCTAAAGTACTCGATCAGATTTTTAAAATGATGTGCTTCTTGTCCCCATTCCCAATTCAGATTTTAACGATAACATATACCCCCACGCTTCCAGGGAAGTGAGACACAAGGGTTAAAAATTAATAAGTTTTTCTCTTGCAAATATAATTATTGAAAAAACCTAGAAAGAGAATACTAGATTAACAAAATTTGGTTTGTTCATCTGGATCAAAAACTATGTTGTCAATTAACCAATCTGAATTATTTGTTTCGAATCGACTTAGAATTCTATAAGACTCTTTCCCACTTTTATTGCAGTTTCCTAGTGAAACTATTTGCTGTGCGCTTCACTACAAGATACTTTTGGTTTGATTGTTGTCTCTTTGTCTTCCGGTATACCAAGTCGGCGAATAGCATATGAAAGGACCGCCGAATTTTTTTTATTTAAGACCACTTTTCCGTCGCCAAACTTCATAAAGCTCCCTTCTTGTCAACATATCTATTAGATAAATGTGTGTTACTCCGAACCGTGCACCTAGTAGCAGTTAATTATATAAGAAAATGTCTTACCAAAAAGCCTTCTAAATCTTGAAAAAAAAATTGTATCGAACACGACCGGACAAGGTATGGTTTACCTTTGCGAAACCTGAAGAAAAGAAATATAATTTTTGTTTTACTCACCAGTTTAGTTTTGTTGAAAAAATAATAGACAAAAAACTATTTGCTCACCAAAATTTGGTCCCAACTATTACAAATTCCCAGCAAAACAACATAAATCACAAACACGTTGATTCACGTTTGCAAACGTTACTAGATTGCAGTCAATATTAATGATTAAATATTATTTCAATTTTTCATGTATGACTTCATACAATTACTACCTGTTATCTAATTAATAAAATACAACAAAGACAGCTATTTCGCAAAAAAATATGTCACCTGCGCCATCTTTAGACCTTCCTTTTTCGCATTTCATAGGTCACAGCCAACTACGCATCTTTAGGGTTTCCTAATATTTGCACTGTAAAGTAGTGATTTCGACCAGTGTGCGACGGTGCAATTTAGGTGAATACCCTAATTTTATAAGGGGATTCCTCGACTACCGCGTAGTAAATAAATACACGGGGTAATACCAGGAATATACAAGTATTTTCCAGGAGAATATATCTACAATATTCCTCAATGTATAATATTTGTCAATAATCCTAAGCCCTCAATAAATTTTATTACCCTACAACTCACCGTCCATCACCGATCCTGATGTCCGCCAATGTTCGCGCACGTTCGGTAGGAACGTTCCATTACACCACCATTCGTTAGTATAACAAATAAGTTAGTACTTTTTTTTCCAGCGAAAAAGCTGCCCAAAAACGAGCAGAATACAGGACAGGCCGGCAACGCGCAGGGCAGGAGACTAACGGAAGGCGACACTGGCCCAAAAGCCACAGGCAACTGCTGCAAGTGATGGCCAGTTCGAATAAATCAAGTGTTAATGCAAATTAAGGGACTGAACTGTGCAACTGGCACTCTAGTGATATATTGAATGTAAGGAGTCCTTCTAAACATTAAAAAAAGCGAACGCGAAAAAAAATTACACTGTCAAAAAATTTCCTTCAAAATTTAACCGTTTCCCAGATGATTTTTATTCAGATATATTTTATTTTTCTATAATTTATTCCCCCTATGAGATTATGCGCGTGACAGTGTAGCTGGTTTAGTAACATTTTCGTTAACAAATTAAGCACCACCTGTTTCTAACATACATATTATATTTTATTCCACATTAGGCATTTATGTTATCACTTGGCAAAGGTTAATTTCCATTTTATTACTTGTATCTGCCTTTTTAAGTAAATAGAACACTTCTCAATCAGAAAACGTAAAAAGAATTAATATCATAGTGTGTAACAGAGCAGTTTTTCCATGGTTCTTATTTATCTCAATACTGGTTTTTCGCAAGAATATCTGATTAGGAATATCTTAAAAGGTACGCAGTAACACAGCAACTATAACTTATGTATATCAATCTTTTTTTAAATCAACCTATACATATATATTATATTAAGATTTTATTAATAAGTTACTAAATATTTATAATTTTTAGAATTATATATTTGCTATCACCAAAGTTGTGATTAATTATACAATGATATATGATATTAAAAGAGGTTATGTAACAAGAATCTAGATGAATAACGAAATTACACTAGTGTAGTTGTACAATATAAAAGAATGGCTTTCATATGAAATTGTTTTTGTTCATCCTTTTCAGACCATGCGAAAATTCTTTATTGTCCGAATATGTTAAGAAGCTGATATCTTCTAATCGCCCATAATGTGTTTTGGTATTTAGAGCTTTTTAAATATATAGTAACAGAAAAAAACTTAATAGGTACAATATATGAAATTGTATCTCAGCTAGAAAACGTTAAAAATGTTTAACCTTTGTTAAGCAGTGTATATTAATAATATAGTTTTTAAAATTCGTTTTAAACGTTAGGAAAAAATAGGCAGTATATATATATATAATATATATTTCCATTTAAACGTATATTTATGCCAAATTGTAATTGTTAACAATAATTTTTTAAATGCGATCATAACAGTTTAGCTGAGATACCATGAGTACCTGTGTAATTTTTTGAAAGATATATTTTATAGTCTATATAGAACGACTTCGTTCTGCAATGTGGTTATTTTTCATATGGTATATTATTTGTAGCTGCTAATAAAAAATATATAATTATATTTCCATTACTGGACTCGAACATATGCTTTTAAAAATTAATTTAGCTTTATTTTAGCGTATTCTTTATTTTTATTGGCTGATGTTGGCAAAATGAAGCATTATGTTCTGGTTCCAAAGCAATATGAAGATATTTAACGAAAATTTATATATTATAATCTGCTGGTGGGCGACTTCGAATCAAAAATTAACTGGGTAATTTTTTTTTTCAATTTTGCGATGCTTATACAGTTTCTAGGAAAGATTCGTAGTCACAAGCTACATCAAAACAGTTCTAGTTTAATATATTTGTGCCCATAATGCTCGGGTCCTTGCGTTGACAAAATTACTAACCATTTGGGTTTATAATTTTGGCAATAAAACTATTTATATTTATATTCGTATGATTTATTAGTAAGTTTTACAAATTAGTGAGGTGATTGTACAGATTTTAATATACTAATATTCCAATTTAGTTATGTTATTGTAAATTTTTAGTTAGTTTTATTAATTCATGGAAAATATGCTGTAATTTATAACAAACACCCAAAGTGTTTGTTTATATTGTATTATATTGAATATAATATTAATATGATATCATTGCTTTATTTAATAACATAATGCATCAATGTTTTAAATTAAAAAAAAAACATACTACTTCTTAGATATGCATTCATACAACTCATACAAGTCGATACGTTTATGAAAAATGTTGCGTCTAGGATTGGATCTTTATTTTTCACAATTTGTTACTTATTTTACTACAGCTGTAATAGATTATATTTAGCTTAGATATATTATCTTCATTTCAGTAGTATACATGAAAGTTTTTAAAATAAACTCACCGGCAAAAAAAACGGCCACTAAAAACTAGTCCCAATTTCAAAGTTGGATTTCTCGCGAACCACTCATAAGATTTTGATGATTTTTTTTTAAATTGTAAATTAATTCCTTCTTAACGGATGCTATATCAGCAATTTTTATTCCGAATTTATTTTGAGCATATACACGGCACAACAATAAGACGAAGTTTTTTGCCCGAACTTTGTAACACCCTGTAGGGTGCAGCAGCGGTAGTAGCTATTGCTAAATTAAATCACATTGTAGCCTCATCTTTTGTGAGCATTTTGTTTTTTTAATCACCACATTATCTCTTTTTGTATTGGAGATATGTTGTTTTAAAACGAACGTCTCGGAAAAATGCTTCGCAGGCAGAAAGTTTTATGTATAAATAATCAAGGCGACATAGGCGAAAACGGATTTATGAGTATTTGCAATATGACAAAAACGGTTGTCAAATTTAAAAATGCCATCTGTAACGGATGTTGCTCGTAGTGGCTTTAATTGAGGATGGCCGAAGTCAACGTTATGTCTCCGATATCCAGGGTATATTTCGAACAACAGTCCAGGATGCCTGGAATCGGTATATGGAGACGGGAAATTTCACCAGGCGAGTGGACACTAGATATTAGTCCCTTAAAATTTATTTATCTTTTTTTTAATTTTCATGTTTTAGTTAGTTTTCAGGTTAAACTTACCTACGTTCTGATGTTTAGGTGGGTATTCACTTGCAACAAAACACTCCGAACCAAATACGTTTTAATTAAACTCCGAACAAACCAAACGCGCCGCGCGCTGTAACGTTATAAGTTTGTGTAGTCAGTACGTTGCGCCGAACGGAACCGAACGCGCCAAACATTTTCCGAAGCTTGTCGGTAAACGGGATTTGATCAAAAGAATTTGTTCGTTGGCCGGTGTTCAGTGGATACGGCAGTTTTGAACGTTCGTTGTGTTTGGGATGTTTTTAAACTGTACCTAGCTATGGAGTGGAACAGAGAAAGGTGTTTAGACTTAATTGATGAGTTTGAAGGGCGGCCTATTTTATGAAATTAATAATTAACTATTAAATTAATTAAATTCTTATGCATATAATCTAGGTCACTAAGTAAGGCCATATTATGTTGACGGCGCAAAAAGAGGCGTTCTGCCTACATTTTTCGTCCTTTCCTTTTTTTCTCTTTTTTGTTACCCGCTAATGCCTCTATAATTAAAAAAGCACAAGCGGCTATCGTGTCCTTATCGACAAACACATTAACACTGATTCACACACTGATTACTGGTGGAAACGCAGCGAACACCGCAAACAGGCGGAACGCTCCGCGCAAAATGTTTTGTTGCAGGTCGTACAGAGCGCTCCCGGAAAATGTTTTGTTGCAGATTGTTTGGAGTGCGCGGCGCGTTTGGTTTGTTCGGAGTGTTTTGTTGCAAGTGAATACGAACCTTTTGATTTGTTTTTAAAGCTTTTCTGAGGCGTTTGTTTTAAAGCAACGTATCTCCTATACAAACAGAGATAATGTTGTGATTAAAAAAACAAAATGCTCACAAAAGATGAGGCTACAATGTGATTTGATTTAGCAATAGCTACTATAGCTGCTGCACCCTACAGGGTGTTACAAAATTTGGACAAAACTTCGTCTTATTGTTGTGCCCTGATGTATATGCTCAAAATCTTTCTCAAAATAAATTCGGAATAAAAATTGCTGACGTAGCATCAGTTAAGAAGGAATCTTTGGAAGGAATTAATTTACAATTTAAAAAAAAATCATAACGAGTGGTTCGCGAGAAATCCAACTTTGAAATTGGGACTAGTTTTTAGTGGCCGGTTTTTTTGCCAGTGAATGTAGTAATATTTTTTTCTACGCACATTTTCCTACAAGCATAAAAACCGACAACACTGTATGCCTCTTTTTGTTTTATCTGTCTGCCAACCAGTCATTGTGCGCGTTCGCTGACTATAGGCTGACTGACGAAAATGTCGAAAAAGATCATGGCGTCAGCGATGGCTATGAAATGAAGATCGCTGTCATTTTATATGGGGAATGTCAACGATCGTCATTTCCAATCCAACTGGGCGCCGTTTTTTTTCGATCATACGGTAGCAGCTAAAGGTGGGTTCATACAGCCAAATAAAATAAAATAAGAAATAAGGAATTCTTATTTGTGCGCGTTCATACAGTCAAATAAAATAAAATAAGAAATATATATTTGCTCATGCGCTGTACGATGAAGCTGGATAAATGTTAACTTTTACGATTGTTTATAGTAATTTTACTATTTATAGTATATTTATTTATTCGTTGCCTACTATATTATAAATTTTACTTATGTGAAATTATAAAATAAATTAAATCCAAACTGAAAATATTTGTAGGTTAGAATTAAGCTTGCGCAAAGCCGTTTTCACATAAAATAAAACAAGAAGTAAAAAGATAAAGACTTCTTATTTTATTTGGCTGTATGAACGCATGTACGGTATCCCATATAACCAACTTTCTTATTTTATTTTATTTGGTTGTATGAACCCACTTGGAACCCACCATAACTTTATGACAGGATGTTGACCACTATGCAACTTGATGAAGTACACTGTTGCCAAACCCCCTATAAAATCCTATACTATTGTGGAAAAAATTAAGACAGACTATACTCCTATGCAAAATATCACAGATACCATAGAGAATATCCTTTTAAACCATAAATTTAACCTAACCTAACTTAACAATAAAGTTGTAATAGACTATGCAGCATCTGATGGAAGGTATGAAAAAAAAAACAATTTGACTAATCTTCATTCTTTAATAAATAAGTATAAAGTGAAAGATTATTTCTTTTTTTTAGGTGCCTTCTCTAGACCTAAAACATATTTTTTGGGAACTTTATATTTTTCTGTTAGTATGTTATACACAAAAACAACTTGATTTCCTTGAACTAAGAGTTGGTCACACTTTTTTCCAGGTGGTTTTGGAGTTATACTTGTACTTGCTGCCACACCATGTTGACATTCCTTGGCAAATTCATTAATATTAATTCCAAATACTTCTAAATTATCAATTATAGTAACTTTCTTATTGCCAGATCTGACAGATACATTCATCGTGATAGGCGATATTTTACCCTTATTGAATATTTCATCTTGGCCAACATTGACTTTGAAACAATTTTTCATTGATTCGCATACTTTTTCAAATACCTCCTCCCACGATACAGATTGCTCTGTTTTGCAGATTTTTCTCAGAATGGTAGTACTGGGTTTGACTAGTTTATTATTATCAATTTCTTGACAATTGTTTTCTTTAATGTAACTTGTAACAAACTTGTGAATATTAGGCCTATCTATAACATCTCCTTTGCGATAACCACCTTGTTGAAAAATAGGTAAAACATTTTCAGTTATTACATAAGATTCAGTTACAGTAGTTTTATTTACATTCTTTGCATCTTCGTTAGAGTCTGTTTTTGGCCTTAAGTCAGGTTTCAAATAGAATTCATTATATTTAGGATGCTCCTTATTAATACTCATTATGGTTTCCACACCTTTTTTTACTTCCTTTACCGTAATTAGTTGTATTTTACACATTTCGTCCAGAAAGTTTTTTAATTTTTTGTAAGAAGTTTTTTTAATATCTAATGTGTGGCCTTCAGGGCATGCCGGGAGCATTTGTAATTTGTAGAAATTTGAGGTAAGGATTGGCAGCGTGATCGTCTTTGAATACTTAATTGATGCTAGAAAACAATGCATTAAAACTTCATCCATATCAAAATTTTCATTAGTATTGGATACATCTGTTTCGTTTTTGTCATCTGTGTCTTCTAATAAATCCTTATCTTGTGGGATGCTCCCATCAGATGTTATTTCTGATCTATTTATTTCTTGTTTATTTTTTCCCAATTCAGGAAAGTCTGACTCATAATCTTTTGTAACAAGAAAATCTGGTGGACCTAAATTTGGTTTGGTAGTTTGTGCTCCATCAATATTACACAAATAGTCCCCTAAAAAATGATGAACATTGACACATTTTCCTTTACCTCCTGATCTTTCCATATCAAAAGAACTTAAACATGTCGTACCAATTGCTACTGCACATTTATTATTTGATAAATTTATATATACTAAACTATTTGCATTTACATTTCCATACTTTGATAATCCGGTTTGTGCTGTTGGAGTAATCACACCGGGCAGCATTAAATCAGCTCCAGAATTTATGTAACTCATCACCTGAGGATGTATAGTAAAATATGGAATAAGATTTGGAATATTCCATAATAAGTATACTGTAGGAAACAACTTGTCCCTTACACTGAACAACAACGGTTGTTTCTGTATACAATAGACTTGCACTGTTTCATTGTCATGAGTTACAAGTTTAATGCAATTAAGTGTTTCTTTTTTATTGTTAAATAAATTATTGGCTTCTACTTCTGAAACATTTGGAAAACTTTTGCAGAAAAGATCTTTTACATTTTTTCTTTCGGATCCTTTAACTTGATTATTACTTTTAATTCTCACTGGTTTCTTGAACATGTTTTACACGAAAATTGGGTATTTTGCACTTATCTTTATTTATTATTATACTTTAATTTTAAATACAAAATATTTTTATCAACCTACAGAATAGACAACATATAACCTCAAAATAAAGTAGTTCAAATGCATTATCATCTCAGATATCATATATAATTTTTAGATTAGGTTCGACATTTTTTATTTTTTTATAAGAAATAATTCTAGGAGAAACATATGAGAAATCGGAACTGATCAGTTGCGGTAATTAACAAAACAGTTTTTGAGCCTCAAAACTATTTCATTTTTATTTTATAATTTTGGAAATCTGAATTGCCGAATTCATATATAATAAATAACTTACACTTTTATGTACATCTCTCTGGTACATCTCTATAAAAAATAGATCAAACGTCCATTTTTTCCTTGCACCTGTCAAAATTAAACTTTGTTTTGTTATTCTATTTTTATGCTCTAGTTTAAAATTATTTATTTTTAGTTTTAGTCTATAAAATAAATTAAAAATAACTTTGTGCAATAAAAGTGTTTGGGTTCTACCAATTAGAGAAGCCGTAGTATTTGTTAGGAATACAAGAATATAAAGAATATATCTTCAAGTTAGAAGGCTATGAAATGTCAGTATTTTGAGTTTTTTACAAATTTCTCATTTTATATAAATTTTTATACTATTTTGGCTATAAAAGTGTACGATGGCAAACAATTTCCCTTGCTATAGGTCTCTAAACCAGTCTCGAGGATGCCCTGTATCAGTGGGCAATACTATTTGTGGAGAAGCAAACTCCCTTGATATCATGAAAGAGTTTAATCGACTTTATGAGGATAAGATGCAGCAAGTAGACTCTGAAGCTGGTGGAGACTGCTCACAGGTCTGTACCTAATTGTGAGATCATTTTTATTAACAAATTGAGTTCATAAGGAATAAACAATGTATGAAGGTAAACATATGCTATTTATGTCATACCTTTGTAGGAGAAAATTAAATTACAACAAGAATGGATAAGAAATTTAACACAGCAAAATGAAATGTTGGTTAAAGCAGTACAAGAACTTGAATATGAAGCTACAGAGAGAGTAAAACAATTAGAAGACAAACTTCAGAAAAGTGCTCAGTGTTTATGTGAAGTAAGTATGCTTATTTAATTAATATTGTTTTATATCTATCCTTAAACCTATGTTACCAGTATCCCCTATGTTCTTTTCCTGAATAATAAATCCACCATTCTCAATAAAAGTTCCTAAGATTTATTACTTTGGCATGTGATCATGTAAGTGTTTGATTTACTGAGATATAGGATGGATAAAAATATTTTTATATTTTACTTTAGGTGATGAGAAAATACAGAGAACATGATTTTACAACAGACTTATTAAGTGAGCCTTTGCAGAAAATATCTAATTTGGAAGATGACATAAGAAACGTTTTAGAGTTTATTCGCAGAATAAGAGAGAATGGAGATTGGAATACTGATGGTCTGTTTTTTCACAAGATTAAAAATGTAGATCTGCTAGGAACCAATACAGCAAGTGTTAAAGAGTTAAGTATAAGACTAGTAAGACTATTTAGACTAGAACAGTTTTATACTAATATACTGTTATGTAAAAGTTCTTCTATACATCATTTAATTGCATGTGTGCATACTGCACATACTGTGCATCACATATGTATGTACAGGGTATCCCATTTTTGTGTGGTTTATGGGATTTCTTGTTTATGAGTAGAGATACAATGATGCAATCTTCACATTACTTTGCTACTTTTTTATGAAACTAAATATGATACATACCTGGTGCATCTCAAAAGTGGCTCACACTTATAACTTTTTTTATTTTTTTAGTTAAAAAAACTAGATTTGGTATGTTAGTATATGACATAAATTAGGATTGATTGAAATATTCAATTGCTTTCGGTCACTTCCTGTTTCACTGGAAATGACTACAACTATTGATTTTCATTTTTTTACTTTATTTGATAAAAATTAACACTCTGAGTATAATGACATATCATATGTTAACCTTTGACATTTTCACATATGGTATATTTGAAATTATAACTCGCGGTTCGTAACGAAAATTTGACTCGAAATACCAAGTGTTTGGTATCAAATTATTGGTAAAAAATGCTTTTTCCAAATATGATAATGAGCCACCCTCGTTCCATGTGAAAAAAATTGAGTTATTATTAAAAATACAATTGGAGCTATTCTGTACATTCGTCGGTATCAGTTACCGACAGCTATCGGTACATACGGCCAATGAGCGTCGTGTTGATTGTTGTTGTCATAGTTACCGATCGGCCCTATGGAAGATATCGCAAATTTGTACCGACGACTCTCGGTATCTCTACCGTGAGGTTAACAAGTCCGTATACCGTACATTAGTCCGTACATTTGTACCGATTTTCATCGGTACAAATTTGCAATATCTGCCATAGAACCGATCGGTAACTATGACAACAGCAATTAACACATTTTTACTATATGCAAATACGTATCGAGAGCTGTCGTAACTTACCGATACCGACGATTATCATTGCCCCTGGGGCGCTATTCTGTAAAATCGTCGGTATCGGTAAGTTACGACAGCTCTCGGTACGTATTTGTATATAGTAAAAATGTGTTAATTGTTGTGTATAATGTGTCCTGTTCTTCTTGTCTTTCTCTATGACGTCGCTCCCCCCTCCAAACGAATTTCCAAATTTCCTATTATTTTCTCAAGCCGGTCCTGTTCTTCTTGTTTTTCTTTCTTTTGACGCTTCTAAACCTTCTAACATTTTTTCTTGATTTTCCATAAGTATTTTCTGTAGGCGGTCTTGTTCCTCTTCTTTCTCTCTTCTCATATTCTCCATAAAATTGCCCAATAATTTGCTATTCCTCCATTTTCTTTGCTTGCTCCCTTGTACCAACCATAAAAATACTCTGATTCGGTCTAAAAATCTTCCAATCCACTTAATTTCTTCTTAAAATCCTCTTGAATCGCACTTCCGACACCAATTGTTACGGATTCCATGGGTCCACTATTTAAACTCACGATAAAATACTTAACGAATTTATTTGTCTCACTCTGTACACACAACTTATACTATTTACAACACAATTTATGCAACTACTATTACTCTAACGGTATTTCGCGGTATTATCAAATTTTAGCCTTCAGACTATCTTCAGACTGCTCCTTTGAATAAGAAGACTAAGGAAGGAGCATAATGCTATCCATGTATTCATGCATGGTGGGCGGAAAAGGCTCCATAAAAGCTCTCTAGGGTGGGGATCCTTGACAGTTCTGTTTGACGATTCATTTGACACATTTGAATTTGATTTGAAATTTTGTGGATTTGTCAGTCTTTAGGGAGCTTATTTTATGTTATTTATTATTTATTCTACTACTGATAGTTGTATAAAGGTAGTAAATCTAGATGGAAATTGTGGCAGAACTTAAATTAACAGTGACACTATCGGGATTTATCGAAAAAGACTCTAAAATAGTTGGTTGTGTAGCGTGCGGTAGATCTCGGCAAAAATTGAGTGAAATAATGGAACAACTTTTCGCTAGTAAGTGACTATAGGTATAATATACATACGTGTAGTAAACCGATCATTTATGAAATTCACTTAAATTAACTAAATTATATATTTTTCTTGCATTTTAGCTTTTATTTATTACTTGTCAAAGATTTAATGTCAAAGAATTTAGATATGTTAATTTGACTTACCTGCTTCAGTAGCGTATCGGATGTTTGTGTTAATAAATACTTATTATAACTTATCTATTTTTATTACAATTATATATTTTTATAACAATTTTAATAACTACCAACATTTATTCACAACGTAAAATAAAACAACAAATTATTGAGTCTGCCCCACGTCTACCCTACATCATAGTTTTACATTTTTTTAATAAAATTAGAACGACACTGATAAACCGGAATTTAAGTCGGCCATATTTGAGGCCCATCGCGGTGTACCTAAGATTTTTGATATGCTCCTTCCTTAGTCTTCTTATTCAAAGGACTGCTCACAAAACACATACACAAGGAGAAGTGCGAGCGCCTTGCTAAATATTGGAAAGTGAAATTGACGTTTAAATTTGACACTGTTGACAAGTCTACTGCTACTAGCGCCCCCAATATCGCTTGTAGGAACTACGGACTAGATTGTCACGCATGGCGGGAAGTTTAAAAAAATAAAAAATTTTAATTCTTCATTTATTTTTAATTATGACATAGATAAAAACACAAAAAATACACCATTTTTTAAAAATATGTTTAATATCAATATCAAATATACAACAGAAATTAATTTCACCACAATAAATTAATAAAATTAAAAAATAATGTTACAAGTAGATCAAGAGACAAAATTAATTATAACAAAACTGAAAAAAATGGCGTCATAGATGGCTTAGAAATGACGATATATATCATAATTTTGAAAGTAAAATTATATAGGAAATGTCATCGATCATCATTTTGAAGCCAACTGGACGATTATTTCAAACATACAAGCTGAGTTCGTTCATAGTGCTCTGAGAAATCTAGATAAACAAAGAATAATAAATTAAAAGTATTCCAGGGAAAAAGAGAGGAAAAACCTGTATCGTCTCTGATATCTGTCAGGGTTTTGTTGAAAGTGTCATCTTTTTGCTCGAAGTTTTCAGGTCGATTAAAAAGATGACATTTACAACAATACTTTGCCGTAACTTTCACAAATATCAGAGAGAGAGTACAGGTATTGCCTCTCTTTTCCTCTGGGATGCTTTATATCTGTTCTTCTTTGTTTACCTATATTTCTAAGAGCATAATGCCAAACACGACTACAGTATATAATAATTTCAATATCCTAAGTGGAAAGAAAAAAGATCACCTTTCTGTTTTGTACTATGGTCCCTTTCTTCCGATGGCTCATCTCGTTGATATTTAGGAAGGTATCCATAAAATATATATTTTATTATCGGTCCTGGGATGAAAAAATATAAAATTCAATTTCATTTGATGATCCTTTTCTGTCACCTAAATCAGGAGAATGACAATGAGCATGTTAAGATGAAAAAAAACTTATTTATCAACACTTACCTACACGTTAGTCCAAGGAGTTTTATCAAAAACCTATATTTGCCTAAATAATTTATGTATTCAATTTACAAAGCAAACTGCAGCGTGTAAACAAAAGAAATAAAATGGCGACAAGTCAACGTCAACGACCCGACAAGGAGAAAAGTGGTGTTCGAATAACAATTTATGGGTTGCAAAAAATTGTTTTTGTCTCCTTTCAACGCACACTTTAGAAAGAAAAAGAGATGAACAGTTATACTGAAAGTATGGAGTCTAAAAGGAGGAGGCGAATCGAACGCAAAAATTATGGGCCCAGTTTTTGAGATCTAAATGAAGTTCGAAAATCGCCGTTAGGGGCGCTTGTGATGATTGGGATACTAGAAATACACAGCTTCTTATGGCAAGAATAACTATTTTGTTATAAATTATAGAGCCAAGTTAATATTTGGGCATATTTTTACCAGAGTTAGCTTTTAGAAACGTGGTTTTTCTAATTGAGCAATGTGCGTGGCTAAAATTGTGAATACAAAACCTTAAATTTGAGTTTGAAAAGTTAGTTAGGTTATATTAGATGCCGGTTTAATATATCCTTTTCCTAAGTTGATATTATAAAAATGTTTTATTATGTGGTTCTTTTTAGTGCATACACGACCGAAGAAACATATAAGCTGCTAAAATAAATCTTCCCTAGAACTGTTGTACAAAAAAGATAGAAGTTCCAGCAACAAATTTATCACCAGTTCAACCTTTGATTTGATGTAAACAGTAATTGTTTCTTGATGAGAAATGCGAATGAAATAGTTTATGGTGTGATTGTGTTAGTGTTTTATTAATAGTTTTGTTGATGCAGTTTAAAGGTTCATAGTTTTTCATTAAAACATTTGAAATTGACATGTTTACATGCAGTTTAGTGTGATACCATTTTAATAAACATTAAAATCTTTCGAACTAGTAGTGGTTTTATGGCGATTGACAGATTGAATAACGAAAATTAAGAGTATTTTATCAGGAATAACTTAATCATAAATGGAAACTGAAGACGAACGTTACCATTGCACCCTTTGATCGGTGTTATCTATTCCATAACTTTTTATAGCTGAAACTAGAGAGTAGGTATATTGAGCTGAAACGTTTCCTGTGTTCAATAGCGTTTTTTCTAGCGTTGAATTGTAAGTTTTAATGTCATTAGCAAAGTTTTGCAAATTGTCACTGTTTCGTAGACAATTAAATTCAAGATATATTATATTCAATGTCACCTAATAATTGTAAAGGTTTTTCTATTGATATTCACTTTATTAATATAAGGTAGGTTTGTAAATAAAATATTAATGAATAAATAATGTACTCAGTTTATTTCAAAAGCACAAAAATACAGAGTTGTGAATATGTATATACGCTGACTTATTTCATCATATAAATATTTATTTAGCAATATTAATACATTACAACTTTTGTTTCTATTAACTAATTCCACTAAATTTAATAAATAAAATATACAATATATAAATTTAATATACAATTTAGCACTTAGATATTAAATATCTATATGTACTATGCCAAAAAATAAAACAGGAACATCATATTATATCAAGAACACAAAAAATTACAATTTAAAAAAAATGCATTCTAAAAAAATACCTAGCTACAATATACCTACATATTAATTTAAAGAGCTTATTCATATTCATAAAAACTATTCTAAATGGTTTATATACACAATCAAAAGTATCAACCACAATACAATAATTTTCAAATTATTTCTTATTATTCCTCAATGAAAAAGCGTCTTGCGACGGCTAGTCAAAAATCTAAATAATTTTTTTTATAATAAATTTACAATCTGACATATGCAAATATGTCAGTAGTAATATCGTAATTTTTACTTTATGAAATTACTACATCTAGAACCGATTTTAAAAAATTGTACAAATTTTCACCCCTAATATAACCCTTTTAAGAGATAAATTTTCAAAAATCGACGTTCTTAGTAGATTCCTAGGACAGATTTTAAAAAGCTTTTACAGAAAATTTCGCCCCCTCAAGCGATAAATTTCTGCTCGTTCACCCCTCATTTCGCCCCCTTTTGGTGCGAATTTCCAGAAAACAGAGCCGCAGCAAAACACATTCTTACTGCTTCTTGCTGGGTACTTGGTAAAGTGGCTATAATTTCTTCGAGAGCTTCACTCGAAATAGCAGCACATTTTTTCTTGGAGTCCTCAACATCCTTTATAAGTTTAGTAATCTGTAGAAGATAAAATTGAAAAAAAATATATGCAAGCAAATATGTGACATTACCTTTAATTTTAATCTCATGTTCTTGCGAGAAACAACGCGCACCACTCCTTTTATTTTTTATGGCGCCTTACTAACAATGACTTAACCATTTTCTTTTTTTTATTTTTATTATCCAATTGACAAGAGGTGCAATTCTTTGAAATTGCCCCCTTCTGTCCAGGCCTTCTGAGGGGAATCACACCAGTGCATGAATCAGAAGCGCTACAATACAAATAAAATTAAAAACTTAATATTAATTATAATTTTATAACTTTTCCCAAAATGTTAAAACCACAAACAACACCATAATTAACAGAAAATAATTTGTAATGAACGATTGATTAAGACACAACTGATGTAGATTGACCATGCAAAATGAAACATGCAGAATCATGAAATATTATAATCCATGACCACAAACACCATAAAATTAATCACATAACACATAGATAATGCAACAAATCGAAAAATACTCAAGATTGTAAATAAGCAAAGCCATTTCCCTTTGATGATATTTTTGTTGTTGACAGATTAGACTGATAGTCAAAAACAAAAATCAATAATATTATGATAGTTGAAACCATTTTTTTTCAATTTGTTGCAATTAGATTTATTAGTAGAGGTAAAAATCAAGTGTAATCTTTTTCATACACAGCTGCTGTGTGCATCTGCCATTTGTTTAATTCCATTCCAGTCAATGGTCTTCCATTTAAATCGCTTCAATCTGCAAACCTAAAAATTTATTTGTTTTTGAATGCGTAATTTGAGACAGTGGATAAATAATTAAGACGTAAATAGTTTGAGCCACATGGTTGCTTTATTTTCAGCAAAAGTCTTTACCTACAGCATACTTCAACTCCTTCGTATGCTAACCATAAGAAAATAAAAATGTATATATTACTAGTCTAAATATTGAGAATTAGGTATACTGAGAATTATTATATCTAATAAGTAAATAAAAACAACTAATAATATTACCATAGCTTAATTTCAGAACAGACTCCCATTCTATTGACAGATATTAATATGTTTTCAAGTTCTTCAAAACTAGATATTTCTGAACTTTTCTCTTCAAAAGTAATTTCTGTTTTCCCAAATAAAACCTTAAATAAGTAAATTAAAAAACACAACTTTATACCAACAAAAAATAAATACTTAATATCTACCTTATAAGACATATCCTTGCAAATTATAATTTTTTTTTTGGCAAGTAAGTATCATCCCACTCAGCAAAGACTATTTCATTTGAACCTGAAATAAATGTACCTGCCCATCGCTTGTTTGGTGTGCCAACTGCAGCCAAACTATTTTTCAAATTTGTGAACATAGTAACTCTACTGTCTGTAACATCAACTGGCACATTAGTAATATCACGAAGAATTTCATTCTCATTCTCAAAGTTAGGTTCTGAAGTTTGATTTTCAACATGATTAATAGGCAGACCTTTTACTTTTTTTGAATTAGAAACTTTTTCAGTTGCTTCACTCCTTACACATGGTGGTTTCCTCTTTCTTTTATTACTAGAGAAATATGAAGGCAGGTTAGGAAAAATTCTTGGAATTGAACCCTCCTTTAATAATGGTCTACCCCGCTCAATTCTACTGATAGTTCCGTCAGTTAATTTGATCTCATAATGAGTCAAAATATCTTCATCTAGAAAATGTAGTTCACAAACAGCATCTTTGCTGCTAAGTGTCTTGTCTGATCTGGGTATCGCCTTTTGCCACTGCTGTAGCAAGCTAGGATCCTAATAAAAGATATATAATTGTTAAATAAAATAAAAAAAAAACATTTTTCACTATTAAAGCTGTTATTTTGAGAATACGATCTTGAAGTATAAATATTTAATATTCACTTTCAATAGCACTGTTCAAACTGTGGTTAATATAGGTACATGTCAACAGGTAATTTTAGCACCTAGTAAGTATTAAATTATTTTAATTTTATAACAAGGCCTCCTAGGTTATGTTATACACATGTTGATTTTAGGCTATATTTCCTATTAATTTGGTTTATAATTTAATCTGTACACTGACAGTATATAATTTTAATGTTTTTCTTAACATCTATCCATAATTTTTATAAATAAATAGTCATACTACTTACATTAGGAGCTTTGAAAAGGCTTGGGTTTCTTTCACCCCGTTCTTTATTTGCCTTGTTTTTATTGGGATTCCCACTTGTACAGCCAGGTACAAGCAATTTCTACCACGACTCATTGTTGTACTGCTAAAAATTCAGTAAATTAACTATAAATTTTATTAAAAACACAATTAAATCGTATACTAACAATGAAAATGTAGTATCCCAGTCGATCGCAGTGCCTCTGCTGTCAAACCGAGGAAGCTGCTTAAAAGTGGGGACAGAAATTTCAAATTTGCCCATTGCCGATAAATCTCCTTTTTTAAGCCCTCCATAACTGAAAGAATGTCAAGGTTTTATCTGTCACTCTTGTCAATAATTTATCGGTAAGGAAGATTCCTAGAAAATCGCTTGTAGTCAAGTTTTCAACCATTTCCAGTTCTCCCATAAGATGTGTCATCCACCTGGGACTGCTCCAACTGTTAAAGCGCGGGCCTTATATACCCCCTGGCGATGGTTTCTGGAATTTTCTAAAGAATTCTGTATTTTTCTTTTACTTTCTTTAGAATTCGCCAGGTTCCTCAATGCACCGTTTCGGTTATGCAACCAGTAATACACCTTTACCTTAACAATACCAAATCTCGTTTTTTTATTTGAAAAAATAAAGAAGTTATAGGTGTGAGCCACTTTTGAGACGCACCCGGTATATGTTTGTAGCTAGTTGCCTTAGTTCCTGAAATACAGGGCGAATTTGTGATGCTCAGTAGTGAACGCAACATCTACCGGCAGTCAGACGCCTGCACTCTGTTCAGGAGAGCATAGCAAAAGATATATTAAAGAACCAGTTTTCTTAAAATTCTCTCCCGAAAATGTTGCTAGCTCTTAGACTATAAGCAAAACAGCTAAATCGTTATGGAAATGAAGATATAAAATGACACCAATCACAAGCAAATCGTATATATTATATATCCGATAAAGGGAGACATGAAAATGCAATAAATTTAAAAATAATTATGTAATTATTTTTAAACGTAATTTTATAACTAATCGAAGTCTTTAAATTCAACCAATAAAATTAACATTGTATCGTTGGATACCGGATACATGAAAATTAAGCTTATTTCCAAAGCAAACCATTTTGAGCAAAAAATTGGCGCTTTTCTCTAAGTAACACTTAATCTAAGGTTAACACAATCTTTGGGTTTTTGAACCTCCCGCTTTTTCATTTCAAAAAAATTGCAGCATTTCTTTAAAAAAATAATTAAAAATCCCAGTTGACATCCTGAAATCAAAATTATATTTAAAAAAAATAGAAAATAGTATTTTTATTATGGAAAAATATCATTTTTTTAACACAATAATAACAATTAAATTTATGGTTCATTCTGTAGTCTCATACAGAACAGACTATGTGCAATTATTTACTATGGTAATCGCAAAACAATTTCCGATGCACGTGATCAACTTTGAGTGACAAGCGATGGCGACAGCGCTGCCAGATTGTAATGGATTTATGAGATGAATCTTAATTTAAAATTGACAAACAACATATTTATTATATAATTTTTGAAAGAGTTTTATATTTTATTTTTAATTTAATAACTAATATTTTAGTGATTAATTGATTTATTTGTTTTATAGCTTATTTTACTTATTACATATTGGCAAAAACTAGTCTTTTATGAAGATTATTATAAGCGTTATTATGGGTAATTTATTTATTGATATTGAATAACAAGTAAGAGTGTGCTATTAATACACAAATTAGTAATCACAGAATTTAATAAAAACTAACTTTGAAAGTGGTATAATGTGCTTATCAATCAAACTTACTTTTCTGACTGCAGTCAAGGGTAATAAAGGGCCTTTATTCGTTCTCGTTCAAAATAGTTAAAAAAAACAGGGAAGCTACAAGCTCTTTGCTTCGACTGTTTAAATGCTTCGGCATATTTTCAACACACAATTTCAAGAAATGCAATACAAAAACTCGAAAATTTAGTTCTTAAAAGAACTGTTTGTGCTTAAAAATGCAATTTAAAAAAAATACTATGAAAATAGGCAAAAAAAAACGAGAATTACAAAGATTCAACAACAACACGATATTATACAAAATACTGACTGACACTAGGATAATTTTCAAATAATAAAGGACAACATTGCTGAACACAGCGCAATGTCACAAACATAGCGATAATAAAATTCGGTTTAAACTCATTTTTTCAGCGTCAATCTAAATAAAATCTATGTTACAATCATTTGCTCTATAAAGTAAAATGAAGAGCTGCTCGGTATCTTAAATTATACAACAAATTTAAACATTTTTGCCAAAATTTTATTTAGTCAGGTTTATAGACATTAGTGTCAATGTCGATATGATTGATGACGTGCATCGGAAAATGTTTTGCGATTAGAATATTTTGACTGAAGACATTAAAAAAATTAAAAAGCTAGAAAAAATTGTTTTTGAATTAAAATGGCATACAAAAATTGTTACTGACATTTATCCATTTATCATTTATCTTCTGTTTCAATTGATTCAAATATTTAACATCCTTTATTTGTATTTTTAGGATTACAACAACAAGCGGTACTGATGAGGTGCGTAAAACGGCAAGATTCATATTTAGCTTGAGAAATAACAGATGTGCAAGCTTTTGTCCTAGAAATAGCAGAAGTCGTTCTCTTTCTTGCAAAAACCGAAACAAGATGTGATAGAATTGTTAACACATTATTTATTTTTAACGATTTTAGGTCAATTAAATTATATGTTCATTTTTTGGTGTTGATTAATTTTTCTTATATGAATAAGATGTGTTAAGTTTATTCAAAATGAAATATTACAGTGATTAGAGTTTTGCAATTTTGATAATTTATAAATGCGAAATTTTACTAATTAATTTGGTATTTTATATATTAAGAAAATTAATTGTTTAACCTTTTTATGATTTACTATGTATTTTTAATTTCAGGGTGAAAAATTGTTAAATGAAAAAGAGAGGTGAGTTTATATTTGTTATTTAATTTGATTGTATTTGTACTTTTTATTTTCAACATTAATCAATCTTATATAATGAGAGAGTGGGCCTGAATACTACATTCTTTAAAATAATTGTGTATGAAATAAACTCAAATTTAATAACAATATAATATAATTACATACAAGGTCTGATTTTGTTTAAGTTAACATCACTATTTTATATTCGACGATATTTCTAGAGGTCTACTCATCCAAATATCAACATCTAAAGCTTGATTTTTATCCTTTCGTTGTCCGACGATAGGATTATACAATATTAATTTTATTGGTTGAATTTAAAGACTTCGATTGGTTAGAAAATTACGCAGTTTTTCTGCACTTTGGTCAGGTGATCATAACAAAACATATATTAAAGAACCAGCTTTTTTAAAATTCTTGTTTTCCCGACGGTATTAGCTACTATTACATTTTTTAAGGTTAGATTAAATTTTAATAAAAATCTGATCAAATCTCTAATCCGAGGGGTAAACCGCAGGATAAAATGTGTACACTAATTCCCCAAATTTATACTAATTCCCCACTAATTCCCCTAATTTTTCTAATTCCTCTAATTCCCCAACTAATTCCCAATTAATTCCTCTAATTCCCAACTAATTCCTCTAATTCCCCAACTAATTCCCCTAATTCCCCTACTATTACTAATTTCCTCATCGAAAAACTTACGTAAACTAGGCCACACATGATGGTAAGTTATTCAACAAACGTCTATAGAGTTTGCTGTAGATATAACTCTCGGTTTTATAATAAAAAACTCTAAACAAAACACCATATTTTTTTATCAAAAAATATAAAAAAGTTAAAAAACTGAACACATTTCTTGTGGAATATTATGATATTATCGAACAAAAATAAGCCGTTATTGTTTTTTAAATCCTTCATATCTTCTCCTGATATTTATTTGATCTGTCCGCTTCAACTGGAATGGGCCATCACCAATCAAATTTATAGGACCGCACAGAATAAATTTTTTATGAACGATATCGGTGTCTTCCTTCTTGGGCCAAATAAAGGTTGATTCTCACTATACCTTCCGTTTCCATTCCATATCCGTTCCGTATTTTTTATTGTATGGACGCTATACGAAAGATTCCGTTCCGTATCAGTTCCATACTTTTTATTATACAAATTATATCATTACGAAAGTTTTATTTTAAAAACTTGTATCTTTTGAAAAAGGTAACAGATTTAAGGAGGTGCAAAAATTAATAAATATCAGCAACATTTTAACAGAGCTGGTACAAATGTAAGGACTTGACAACGCTGTTTCCGATACGCTTCAGTCCGTCCGACAAAAAAATGTATGGAAGGAAAGGATATGGAACGGAAGGGAAACGGAACGGATAGTGTGATCGGATGACGGATTTACATGATATAATATTTTATGTAAACGGAAGGGAGCTGATATGGAAGGTATAGTGAGAATCGACCTTTAAACTGTCGAGCTCTGCTTTCAGAAACCTGAATTTATAATTTGCATTTCTATCTTCAATAATTCGACCATTAACCCACGACTGGTCATAGAAAACCGCGTAATACTTTTCGAAGTGTATATCGAGTTCATCAGTTTCCGATAAATTGGAGGGAAGCATTCTATCTGAAAACTCTTCCGAATCACCGGAGTCGTCGAGTTCCATCACGTCCGAATCAGTTGAGGAGTCAGTGCTCGTGCTCGTGTAGTTTGATCCATAGGTAACTTCTGTTTAGATTTTTTCATTGCCAAGGGCAATTGGGACTTCTTAGAACCTGTTTTTTTCTGTGTTTTGCTTGCACTTCCTATGAATCATTTCAGTCGGTCAGTACTCACTCTACCATTAGACTGATCTAAAAGCCAGCAGTACGATGACTTTTTAATAATCGAAGATTTCTTGCCAAGATTGAGTGATTTTGAGTGATTACGGTGATTTTTCCGATATGCTATGTACTTTTTGGGAAAAATCTTTTAAACTTATGGAACTTGTTTCCAAAGAATCATCACATTCGCGATTAGGGATCTGGTTAGAAATTAAGTCCGCAACCTTGTCCATAATTATAAATCTTCATTATTGACACAATTTACTACATCTTGGCCAATTTCATTTTCCTCGGAGTTTTCGTTGAGTTCAACATCATCTTCGTCAATATATTCGTTGTCCTGTCCGTTTTTCTTCAGTCTTGTAAATAATGGTATCTGCATATATTTCCAGTCGTTTTCCTTGGCACTGATTCCAAAACGATTCATATCTTCTACGACCATTTGGAGAGCTTCTTCAACTGTAGTTTTGATATCCAAATTGAGGACTTCTTCTTCCAGTGTTAATTTTTCTTCCTTCAGTCTGTTTTTCAATCTATTGTCTTTTCTTGGAAATGCAAAAGTTCCCCTTAGATCATTTATGGTATCATTTATTGTGCTAATTCTTTCAATTCGGTTCAGCATATCCTTTGTACTAAAATTGATTACTGTTGAATAAGTAGAGGTCATGGATCTTGCAGAACGAAATAAGGATTCACAGGCTTGGCTACCAAGAATGCCGATGCTTAACATTTCTGGTCTTAACTCGGAGTTTTTAATCTTCAGTATCAGTTTAATTAAAGCGTGGGCATTCATCTCGATGCAAAGGTAACAATTACTGGTCAAAAAATTTTCTGTTTTGTATTCTTTTTTTTCTTTAATCCAAACTCTCCAGATTCTAGTGAAGAATACTACATACCAGATGCGATATAGCCGAAGCAAAACAGTGCTGGAATCGAGGAACGACGATTTAACGTAATTCATAAGTTTAAGATACGCCACACTACCTTTACTTTGTGGAATTTCCTTACAGTTGAGGGTTTGGTTTGTTTCCTTACAGTTGAGGGGTTGTTGGTGTATTGTAGTGATTTAGTGATTTATTTTGCTGGAATTTCCTTATTAAGTTGTTCAATTACTATCAGACTGCACATTTTTTCTGCGGAGGCAAAATTCATCTTGTCTTCATTTTTGAGATCAGAATCTGTAAGAAGGTGTTTATTTTTTGAAACCTTTAGGACCAATTCCCTGAAATGATCCGAGGTGGCAGTGTATTTTCCAATCGGTAGATTTATTTTCGGTTTTAGGAAACGCGTACTCATTTTTGTTAAAATATGAGTGGTGTCCTGTACATAGCATTCTTCATTTTGTCTATGCTACACTGATACCACTTCCAGTCTGGAACTGACGAAGAATGTAGGGGCTCTGCAGCTTGTGTGTGGAATATGTTTTTTCTGCTAAAGGAGATACCAAATCAGCACCGCGAATTTTTTTGTAGCATCATCGTACATATTTTGATTGTTTGAGCAAGTAGAATTTTTGAGTGATACATCTTGCAATATTTTGAGAAGTCGCGGTATATCAGTCTTTTGGTCAGTTACTAATTCACTTATATTCTCCAAAAGTTCTTTCGCTAGTTCACTGTTTTTAATGACTATTTCGCTCACTTTTTCAGCGATGAAAAAGTAATCCGTGATTAAACTTTGGTCATTTACCAATTTTTCTCTAGCTCGTCTCTCCCTATCACACCTTTGAGATTTCTTCTATTCCATTTAGATAGAACATTATTCTCATTCTGGATATCGATTTTGTGTAATTTTTTCAATGAGTATTTGAATCGATGCAGTTACTATCATCTATAAGCGAACAAATTCCCCACTAAATTCCTCTAATTCCCCACTAATTCCCCACTAAATTCCTCTAATTCCCCACTAATTCCTCACTAATTCCCCACTAATTCCTCTAATTCCCCACTAATTCCTCTAATTCCCTACTAATTCCCCACTAATTCCTCTAATTCCCTACTAATTCCCGACTAATTCCTAGAGGTTGTACACCAAAATTCCCCTGCGAAATACCCCTCGCTCTAATCTTAATAAAAATATAATAGTACAAGAGTTATTTTTTTATAGCACCGTCGCGTGGGGAAAACGAGAATTTTAAATAAGCTGGTTCTTTAATATATCTTTTGTTATGCTTTCCTGACCAAAGTGCGAACCATTTGGTTGCCGGTAGGCTACGGCGGTTCAGTACTGCGCATCACATCTGTACAGGGTATCCCATTTTCGTGTGTTTTATAAGATTTCTGGTTTATGAGTAGAGATACAATGATTTTTATATTATTTTGCTACTTTTTTTATGAAACTAAGTATGCTACACATAGGTTTGTCCTAGCCTCCTTAGTTCCTGAAATACAGGACGAGTTTTTGATGCGCACTAGTGAACAGATATTGAATACAGATATGCTGCGTAGTAGTGAACGGAACGTCTACCGGCAACCAGACCAGATATATTAAAGAACCAGCTTTCTTAAAATTCTCTCTCGAAAACGTTGCTAGCTCTTAGTCCATAAGTAAAACAGCGAAATCTCGTTATGGAAATGAAAATATATAATGACACCAATCACAAGCAAGTCATATATTCGATGAACGGAGGCATGAATATGCAATAAATTTAAAAACTGCGTAATTTTCTAACCAACCGAAGTCTTTAAATTCAACCAGTAAAATTACTATCGTATCGTCGGACATCGGAAAGGTGCCAGGTGGCGTAGAAGTACAGGCTCTCGTCTACCAATCTCAAGGTAGTGGGTTCGAATCCCATACCCGGCATTTCATCAGCCGACTATTTTTATTAAAATAAAAATAGTTTGGTTACCTAGGTTGACTCAGCCTTAAATGAGTACTTGGGATTCACAATTCTGAGGTAATAATAGGCGGTTGAAGCGTAGTGCTAGCCACATTACCTTCCTTGTATACCGAACGGCTCTAGTATGGCAAGCTGTACCTTGCTACTCCCAAGGCGTCAAACGCTATATACAGGAGCTGTTATTATTATATCGTCGGACAACGGATGCATGAAAATCAAGCTTTAGTCGGTTATGTTCGGTTCTTTATTTTCTATAAAACTATACCACAGCAAATTCAAAATTAAACACTTTACTTTATAAAAACTAGCTTGTATATGCAAGATAAGTTAGTAATATTTTGTGTTAAATTATTGTAGGACTGTTATTGATTTGACGGAAAAACTGCACTACTATAAAACCTTTGGAGATGTGGAGAGTATGGCTAAGGAATTAGAATGTAAACGAGAAGAATACAATTCTTTGAAAGAAGTAAGTTATTGTCTTTAGTTTGTTAGAAGTAAGTTGTTGTCTTAAGTTTAAATTTAGGTACAAATTTTACTTAGAAATCATTAGTCGGTCGCAGTTATATTGATATATCAACTCTAGTTATACCAAAGAATTATTAACTTTAAAGAAATATATAGTTTTTGAATTATTTATTGTTTTTACAAAGTCGTTCTATATTTTTAAAATTGGTGTATAGACGTAAAATCATACTTGTAGGTTTTTTATATTTTGTTATCTAATCGGTTTTTTAAATTTGCCATTACGTGACATGCAAAAATTATGTTTTTTGTTATTGATCATGCAATAACATTTCAGTTCTAGCTTTTTTATAGCTGAATTTGCGTTCTCTGATTACCGTTATATAACTGTCAGGAGTTTTTAACTGTCAGTTTGTTCTTTCAAAACGAAATTTTATCCTTTAACAAAAACTTCATATAACTTATGATCAATGAAAAAGAGATATTTCACATACCTATCATTTTTTGTAACAAAATTTTCGTCTACTACGACATAGTTTTTATTTCTACGGTATATTTGCTTATTCAAATCGACTTAGTAAGTTACTAACACATAGTGGTATGCCGTATGATTAATGAAACCCTTACTTGAAGGTAGTATAATACTTTAAAGCTATTTTTTAACCTAATTCTTCGTTTATTTTAGGCAATGGTTGACATGAGACAAGTTTTGACGGAAGAGGTGGCCTCTCGACACGACCAAATTATTCTGTTGAAAAAAGAAATTCAGACGCTGGAAGATACATGTGCGCAGGCTGAGAAACAGCTTATCTTCAAAGATGACATCATTAAGGAACTAAGAAAGGACATTAAGCAGTTAAAGCAACAGGTAATGAATGAAATTTACACATGTGGTTTAGTTTTAACCAAGTAAACTTTAAGAGGCGATGAAATACCAAAATTGACCTTTTATTTCTAAATAAAACTTTTAAAATTGCAAAAATCACAGCAGTTAAAAAAATAGTGCCTTACAGCGATAGGACACTTAGCGCATTATAATGCGTTAACTTTGGTAATAGTTTGTCATGTAAAGTGGAATTGGCCATGCTACGATATTCTACCAATTCGCAACAGTTTTTATTTAAAAAATATAAACAGGAATGAAAATCTCTCCAAAAAATCATTTATGGGTATTTCGCCACTGCACTGCAAGAAAAATCAACAAAATAAATAGTTATTTTTTGTAAAAACTTCTGCGTTAAACCTAAAGGGACACTGCTTGTCAGAAGTTATGTTTACAGTAATAAAAATTTGCCTGAAAAAAATGCTTAACGTTTCGGAAAGTTTATCTCTTTCCGTCGTTGGAAGCAAAAAAATATAAAGAATAAAGAAAAAAACTATTTAAAATATTTAAATTCAACTATTGGAGAACACTTTACTTTTTTTAAAACAGATACGTCTACAAATTCTGTTAAAATGACATTATATCAAGTTAAACTTGACAAAATTAACAATTACTACCTGATAACAATTATTTAATAAGGTAAAACCAAAAAACCCAAAACTTTCTGTATGATTATTTTTAAATTTTACATATGTTATGTTCTTTAAAATCAAAGAAGCGATTGCCATACATTTCTAACATCTACAGATGCATGAGCAATACATTTATTTTTATTAGATTGAATTAAAAAAGCCTCTTTTATTTTTCTTTTAGAGACTATCGCTTCTTTCAACAAGAACGTCAACTGTTTCTTGTAGACGTATCTGTTTTAAAAAAAGTAAAGTGTTCTCGAATAGTTGAATTTAAATATTTTAAATAGTTTTTTTCTTTATTCTTTGTATTTTTTTGCTTCCGACGACGGAAAGAGATAAACTTTCCGAAACGTTAAGCATTTTTTTCTTTGTTAGGCAAATTTTTATTACTGTAAACATAACTTCTGACAAGCAGTGTCCGTTTAGGTTTAACGCAGAAGTATTTACAAAAATTAACTATTTTATTTTGTAGATTTTTCTTGCAGTGCAGTGGCGAAATACCCATAAAGGATTTTTTTGGAGAGATGAATCCGCCACATAGGTATAGACATTTTTTAGAAATGAAAATGACAGTGCACTAACACAACAGATACAAGTTTGTATCTGTTCTGTGGCACTAATAGCCAGGAGACTTTTGAGTAAACGAGCCTGTCATATTAAAAATGTTTAGTAAAATATACTCGTTGGTTTTTCATGTTTAACAGTTTATGAATAAATTCAATATATAACAGAAATTTGTTATTTTTGAGTAACAGATATTTTTAAGCAGAAATCGCACAAATGGTGGTGTATGACTGAAAACTTTTTACCTACTATTTATGTTCAGCCTTGTCAACCTTTTTATTTGCATTTGAAACTTGTATTAGTCTGATCTTAGTTTTGCCTTATGGTGGTGTATGACTGAAAACTTTTTACCTACTATTTATGTTCAGCCTTGTCAACCTTTTTATTTGCATTTGAAACTTGTATTAGTCTGATCTTAGTTTTGCCTTAGATATAAATCTAGATATGAATTCGCTTTCGTAGCTGTGATCTGTAGTAATATAGTAAAATTGAATTTGGTTACATATGACAGGGAAATTTTGAACAAAAAAGCATGCATTACATTTGTCTCATACTTTTAAAAGTTGTTAAGCAAATAGAAAAAAATCACGAATTTCGTATTGAAAACGATATTTTTTATCATCTCTTAAAGCTTATTAAGTTAAAATTTAACCATTAAGCACTAATTCTGAGTATTAATTCACTTACTTTAATGTTGATCAGTTAGTAGCTTCTTTATGCGAGTTTAACATTTTATTTTAATATATTTAATACGTATCGCGTTAGGTTAATATGACTTTGGCGTTAGTTTTCGCTTTAAATAGAATACAAATTACATAATAAAATCTATCCTGCGGCTCTCGTGTGTCTGTCAAATTTTACCTTTATAGTAATCATAAAGTATACTAAACCAGCATTACCTTATGATAGTAATAATGGCTAAAAAGTGAGTTTATTGGCCGAATTTTGATATTGTCATGTTATATGGCGACATCTATCGGGGAACGAACAAGGCAAGTTCCGTATTACCGATCGTGGTAATGGAAATTACTAGAAGCAAAAAGAATACTACAGATACTTCTGGAAAGTACGCGAAATATCCGTTGAGGTATTTAATGCGCTTTCCGAGCTTTACAGTTGAGTCAGTTTTTAAAGAGAGAGTTCTGTAAAAGCAAATTGTGAACTATTTCGCGAAGGTGCTTTCAAAGAGTTATTTGTTATTTGTGTGTTATATTTAATTATAGTCTGTCCAACGACAAAATCCGTGACAGTGATAGATGTGTCTGTCGTTTTAATTTCAAAGTACTTTATTTTATTTTACAAAGAAATAAGGTGGTACAATTGAATACCTATATTTAAAATTTGAGTGACAAGTGATTAGGTACTTCAAAATATTGTGAAAAAAAACTGTATGGAACTGAAAAAATCTTATCGAGTTATTTTATTAAAAAAAATACGGTATGTGTACAAGTAATATATATGTGTGTATAAAACAAACAAGGATGTATTTTAAACAAAACACGCCATTATTTTTTTAGCCATTTATTATTTTAAATGTCAAATTTGATAAAAAATCCGAGAGCTCTAGTTAAGTTAAATTTTCTTATGTCATTTTTAATCCAGTTAACAGCAAAAACTATCGCCTATATATCGGTTTTTTTACTAAAATACTAAAAAATTACAATTTTAAAACTAGCATAAAAATATAAGTTAAAATTATTGTGAAAATTCCACACCTGTAATTTTTAACCAATCAAAACGTGTTTTTTTGACAAATCACTATGGCAACGGATAAATTTTAGTGAAAATTTTTTCCTTGTGGGCACCCAACAGCGAATTATACTGGAAATTTTTTAACGTTTATAATGACAGATTATCTTTCTGAGAGTCTGGTTTGTATTTGTTTAAATGATAATATTGATACATTTCAATTACAAAGCTAAGATGAAAGTTTGCAAACTGCTTCCATACACTTGACTTCGATTTCCTAGTATTCGCGGGTGTCAACTGCTTAATCTCCTGGCGAATATTTTCTTTGCTTTCATGACCGAAGCCGAACATTTTTTTAAGCCGTACCACTTGACAGCTTCAAAACTGAAATAGTTTTTAGGTTTGGATGTCACTTAACTAAATAATCAATTCGACCAAATATCGAAAAATACATTTTAATTATTTGATTTTCAAACACAATTTGATGTGGAATTTTCTTACCGAATACCACACGAGGTCAAATTAAATCCGGACATTTTTTCTCGCTCCATGAATATTTTTAGAAAATTATCATGAGCTCGAAAAAATTTCCGGAAATAATTAGATCTCTAGTGGTATTACTAGTGATTATTTCCTTTAGATACCTGTTCCCGACAAATCCCTACATACCTTCAACTCCAATTCCAGTCAAGACCAACATGAGACTCCCTGTATAATCCAACAACCAAAAACTCAATCCAACCAACCTTACTTGATAATCCATCATACCTCGAAAAAGGAGTTTGGTAGAAATACAGTGATATACATCAATAAAGATGGTACAGTGAACAAAAACGTCACTTTTGAAGGAAACCAAGGTTTAATCGAAACAGGAGCTCAAAAGGATTCGGGTATATCTTCAAAATACAATTCCAGTTTGAAGGACAGAAAGTATTTATTTTCGTCGTGTAAGAGCGAAAATGATTTGACTTATGTCAAAAACTCACTGAAGCCAATTAAAGAACGTTCAAAACTGACCAGCACTACACTGGGTAGATGTAAAACTTTTGTAGATCGATCAAAACACACAGAAGCTAGACTTGAGTTTGAGCAGAAATTGTCGAAGTTTACTTATACTCCCGTTATGGAGCACGTGCAAAATTTGGAAAATAAGAAATGTTCCTTCTAATATCCTATTTTTTATTATTTATAGTATGTATATTTTTATTTTATAATATTTAATAATAAAAATACTTT